TGAAGTGAAGCTTGATTCATGCTTCTCCTCTTTCTTGTAACATTTTTAGATACTGGTTCTCTTAACTCTGCACTCTGTGCCTGTCTATATTCGGAAAAAGGTAAACAGCCTGCAGCGCTGTCTTGGCCTGATAAAGAAGTCAGGCCTATCAGGAAGAGAATTTTACGGCTCAAATGATGTTGTGCAAGAATTAGTTCAAGTAACATACCCTTAAAGAGTATTCTGAAGCATTGTGCCCTATATTTGAGAGGGATTGTACGGTTACTTACTTATTTTTTGTTTCATCCCACACCTCATCTTTCTGCAGCACTTTGCAATTCTCCTAAAGTACGTCATTCATGTGGCCATCCCTGACATTCCTACATGGGTAAGAGAGGAGATGGCCAAACTGGATTATCAACGCAGAGAGGCCTTTAAGGTAAAAGATAAGACATCATAAGAACAATAAAATGTTTATGGCATGGGAAAGTTGCAACAGAAGGAAGGAAGGAAATTCATGTTCAAGACTTACTCTAGCAGTTTGAGCAAGCCCTCCAAATACTGCTTCATTATGTGCAGAGTACTGCAATATAATAAAAATCCAAAGCAGTAGCCATCAGAGGAGCCAATTTATTCTGCTGCAAACAGGCTGGACTGCAGCTTTCTCTTTGGAGATAAGTTGATTTTATTACACCTATGGTGATATTTTGTCAATGATACTTTTGAAAAACACAATTTGTAGCACAAAGAAAATTGATTAGGCTGTAGTGGCTCCTGCAGCAAAAGTGGAGGATTCTTAGTAAGGGATTTGTTAGATGGGTAGCACTGCAGTATTGTAATGGTTAGCTGGGTTAGTGCTGATTCTAGTAAATACATTGTGGGAATGTTTCCTTTCCTCTGCAGAAGCATGAGCGGCAGGCGCAGCAGCATTACCAGCAGCTGCAGAGGAGGAAGAGGGAGGAGGAGGAGAGGCAGAGGCAGGCGGAGCATATGGCCCGCAGGGAAAGGGAGCGGGATGACGGCAAGGGCGATTCCTCTGGGGATCACCACCACGACAAAAGTCACAGCAGCAAATCACGTCCCGGGGGTGGAGGTGGTGGAAGTAGCGGGTCGGACAAGCCCAAGAGGCCCAGCTCTCTGTTGGCCAATAATAACGTGATGAAGCTGAAACAGATCATCCCACTGCAGAGTAAGTTCTCCTCAGGTGGTGCCCGCTCCCCTCAGTCACCCACTGGCAGTGAGCCAAAGCTGCCCGGGTTCCTGAGCTTCAAATTTCTCAAGTCACCTGAGAATAAGAAGGAAGGTGCTGCGGCTTCTGCGGCTGCCATCACAGCCACTAACGCCACAGCAGCAGCATCATCATCATCTTCATCATCAGGTAGCAGCTCTCAGGAGCGTTCTCAGTCACCCAGCAAAGCCTTCAATCCTGGGAAACTGTTTAACTTTGGGAAATCTGAGGGGGGGACGTGTGTAAATGGGGCTCAGATGCCCAGATCCGGGGAAGGATCATCACAGACGTCAGAAAGACAAGCATCCAGGTCTGACTTGAACGGCGTTCCAGATGAGATCCCCTCACCTGGAGGGGAAGGGTCAGAGAATGGACATTCAACAGACTTGGACGGCTCTAAAGTCTAGTAGCTGCATAGAGAACAAACTTGCCGTTGGTGACATCTCAACTGAAGAATTGATGTGTTTACTGTGAGGAAATGCCTGACCTACCTTCTGTGTTATCACAGGTTATGTGTAGAGGTACTTGAAGCAGAGAGAGAAAATGAAACTGACAAAAAATTACATGGTTTGGTTTTTTGCTGAGAGACGAAACAAAACAGGCTTTATAAGAAAGACGTAAACCCTCCTATCATGATGAATAAACACACACACACTCCCTTACACACACAAACATGCAAATCCTTCCTTGTCTGCAATACATAAAGAAATGCATGAGCTGCGTTTCTAATATTTTTAAGCCTTTAAAGCAGAGAACTGTGTTTCTTGATTTCTTCTAGTCATAAATTGTAAGCATCTCGTTGGCCTCCCACTCGGAACAGAACAGCCTGTTGTGGAGGAAAAAGATTTTTAAAAATGCATATACAGTGGTATGAAAGGATCACAGATTGTACATCAAATAACTACTGAGAGTGTTTTTAGTTGTCACAACACAAGTGATCATTAGATATTGTGTCATTTGTATCTGTGAGTATCTGGAATTCTTGGGCCCTTCACTTTTATATTGAAGTGGTAAAATGAAAAAGCAATATCAATCAGTATTTTAATTATTCGTATCAATCATCACACAAACCTTCCCTTAATAAGCGTCCCTGATATATCACCAGCTTTATTTTCAAAGCAGAAGTGATGTCTGAGCTTTGTACACTTCTTCCCATCCTGTGACAGCAACAGATTTGTTCAAAAAGGAGGTAAAGAGCTTAGTAAGTCGAGTTGTCACATACCAGTAGTTTTTCCCGGAGAGCAACAGGAAAAGAAATATAAAGCAGTTGTAGACAAAGGTGATATTGAGGAAATGGAGAATGAAAACCTGTTGTGTGCTGTTCTCCATCCAAGCCCGTGGAGCGCCTTGTAAACACAGATGGTGCTCCATTCCACACTGTCCAACCAGACTTGGCAAACGAGTATAGAGTTAAAGAAGGAACATTTGCACTAAACCCCTACGCCCTGCATAGAAACGTCTCTCCCTCTGCAGGAGAAAGGACCGATACCAGCCTGCCTCATGACATTATGCAAAAGCTGGATTGTTTTGATTTCCTCCTTCCACACAGTACATGCTATCTATTCACTTGCCCCCTGCTCTCAGCAACCATGGGATTTCCTATATATTCAGATTTTTTAAAATAGTTCAGCTCTTATTTATGTTGAGCTCCATGTGTTTTATACGCACCATTATTTGCTGCATTGCATTCTTGCAGTGCTGATGATGGGAATTTCTTTTTTTAACCAAAGCAGTATTTTTTGGATTATACTGTTAACCCAAGATGTGTGTGATATGTTAATCATGTACATCAACACAGTATGATATACATTTTGTTACTTAAGTAAGGATGCCCATCATCCACCATTAAACTGTGTTTCACTTCTGCGGGGTCTCCAGAGGGTGGTGCCAGAGTTTATTTGCATAGCAAAATGTGGTGTTGAATCGCTTGTTCTGATTCGCTATTGACTACTTACCCATAACATCAGTGTCTAGTCATCAGTGTACAGCAGAGACAGTGAAATTAAAGTGTCTGGCTGCAGTTTAAGAGTACTTTGAATGGAAATGTAATATGGTGACATTAGATAAGATACACATTGTAAGCTGGGAGACAGGAACATTAACTATGCATTTCCACACCGTCTCCTCTGGCAAGCATTTTGGCAATAACACTGAGTTGTAGGAGACTTCCATGTATCCCTACAAGTCTACACTAACCACTCCACCCGCAGCACCCATCCTTCTGCATTATCCCCAGCCAGACTCTATGCATCTTTTTTATTTGTGTCCCCTCAATATTCCACTCTCTCAGTTCCCTCCCGTCTGATATTTAATGTAGGGAATCTCTTGATTCACAGTTAAAATAATAACAATAATGATCTACCGCTTTGTGTTTACAGAATCTGTCTAGGGGTGATGACAATTCTGATGACAGCTTTTTTTATTTTGTGGCTGCTTTCATATGTCTGTAACAACTTTTACAATAAGTATAGTCCACCTTTTAGTCACATGCCTGAAGAAAATACAAAATGTACTTCAGCAGACAGGCAAAAAGATCTGACATTAAATGCAATAAGGAAATAGACAGAACATCAATTTGTGTGGTCATGGAATCATTTTTCTGTCAATCTTACAGTATATTCTTTTTTATATTTGGAAGTCATTGTTCATTGTAAATGTAAAAAGAGATGTGCAAGGCTGAGAGAAATGTGGATCAGTCTCACAGGATTGTCATTGTTAAATGGTCACATGATAGAGATCAGGATGGTAAGTGTAGCTGAGCAGTGTCTCATCAAAACCTTTATTCTTGCAGAATTTGGATTTCAGGGATGTGTGACACCATGGTGCAATAGAGTCCATTTATCACCATTTAAATGTTTGTATAGAAAATGAGAAGCCAGTTTCAAAGCAGAGGTGACTAAAGTGAGAAGGCAGAGATAGGGGCATTTGCTGATACTGGCGCAGAAAGGTTTGGGTCATGCCTCCATGTATGTAGTTCCTTCTTATTCAGGGAAAACTTACAACTTCATATAATAGAAATGGATAGCATTAACGTACGTATCTCTTCTTTCATCTTTGCACTCGTGGCAACAAATTCTGCATGTGGTTGTTATGGAGGTCTTTAAAAATGGATTGGATGAAGTAAATTTACAGATTAACAGTTTTGGGTATCAGCAAAAGCTTCATCAAGAGGCATCTAATGCCAGAGACTGCACAATTGCTGGTTTTCTCGGGCCAGGCACAGGTGTCCCTCGCTGAGGACAGCACCTCAGACAGCAGAGACTCAACAGCTGTCTGTAATTCACTATCAAAGCAACAGCAGTTCTTCAAAGCTTACATTACAAGCACCATAAGTCTAATGAGAAACCACTGGGAAAGGACTGAATTTAGGGAGTGTACTATCTTCTTCTGGATCTTAAGAGTGGATGTGAACAGGTGAGATTCTCACCACAGCTACATTAAAAACTCTAACCTCAGAGTTTAAGATAAGACATCTTCATGGAACCTTCATGTACTGAACATCATATGCTCTTCCAATGTACCACTGTACAAAAAAATCTTTTAAAGAGAAATACTGGGAAATGGGATTATTTATTTCTTTTAATTTATTTTGTCATATTTTTGTAAGACCTGAAAAATAGTTAATAAAACTATATCAAATGCATTTCATGTGTTTTCTTCAACTTTTCCCTCCAAAATCATGACTGCACATTTTGTTCCCTTATTCACAAATGTGGATTTCAATATTGGGAATCAGAATGTCCTCAAATCAAGGACTGTAAAGCATCTGTTAAAATGACCACATGACAAATACCCAGTTTCAATCCAGTTTTATTTCAGCAAAGCTAAAAAGAACATATCCAAACTAACACACATGAGATGGGGCAAGGCTTAGGGTGTTGTAGAACAGTCTATCTGAGCAGAAGTATAATGTGATTCTACGCTTCAGAAACAGACGGTATTTACACTGTAGGTAGGAAGATGACTGACCACATTGTCGACGTGACTCTGCTGGGCAGTGATCAGAACATAAAAAAAAAAAGCTTAATTCAGTGTTGTACAGTGTATGACACCAATACACACTACATGTCAGGAACAAGGCAGGATGGCAACTGCACTTTGCTGTGCATGCTTATTGTGCATTATACGGCTGAAAATATAACACCCTTTTAAACACCCCCATGTTCACCTAAGCCTGCTCTCAGACAAAAACCATCCAGGACTGTCACAGAGACAGTACAGCTGTCCTGGGCCCTGAGCTGGGGGGGAGCAAAAGGGTCTGAACCACGATGACAGGTTGTAAGGCCTATAGGCTAATACTTACTACAGTCACACAAGATAACGCCACAACCCCAACACCCCTTAGGTTTTATTACTGCTCCAGGAATATAATACTCAGCTGTCAACATGCAAGGCAACATCCAGTGGGTACCAGGGCTCTTTGCTTTATGTCCACAAAGGTAATTTTCTATCGTATCCATGGGCATGTGTTATTTTACAAAAAGGCAGACACAAAGATACTCCATTGGATAAACTAATTGTGGTACTAGTAATTATTTACACACATCATAATGTATTCTTTTTTCCCTTTTCCATACATTACTATACATATTTTTCTTTGCCATCTGTGCTGTTACCTTGTTGTGCAACTGAAAATCCAACGTTCCAATTTACAACTCCACATTTAAGCTAAACTTTTTCCTTCTTTTTCTTTTACATCCTTTGATGAAAGAACAGCTAAACCTAATAGAAATCCCCATTTTTACTATCTTCAATTAGCCAGAAGGTGGGGCTAGATGTAAAAGTATTTCTCAGAAACACCAACACAACATTTATCCTACAAGCACAAGTCCCAGAATAAGATAAAGATATGCATATTCACCATAAACACACATCTAAGAGGGATTCTGAACGAGTTGTTTCTACTTTGTGCTGTTCTTCACAGTGCGTTCTTGGTGCTGTTGATTCAAACAGTGTGGAGAAATGTTGCAATGCCCCCATCAGGTCGCAGAGTGGGCAGTGAAACCGAGAGGGTGGGCACTGTGGCTGGCAGGAAGCTCATTGCCATACATAAACAATAATAGTTATAATAAAATTAAAACAGTAACAAAATGTTATTTTTCCACAAATCAGGACAGTCTCTCCATGTGACAGAAGGCTACACAAGTCATGTAACAGTTATAAGACTGTTTTTAACGGTAGTGTCTGACTTTATCTGTCAAGTCCATCTCTGATCTTAAATCTACTCTGACACCTTTTAAACTATTCATTCACCCCACACATATAGTACAGCACAATACGCACTCACAGCTCAGCATGCATACAAACATGTACACCTTTACTAAACCACACAAGGAATAGCCAACATAAACTTAAAAAAAACCCACTAGTATAAAGTTCCCTACCTGACAACAACTCTGTTCTGTCAGTGTCTTTGAGAGCTTTCCTGATCACTTTCATGCACACAATCTTTACACCATAAATGGCTGCTTTGTTGACAGGATTTTCCCTAATTTCACGCCAAGAAAGGCATCCTGCCATAGTGCAGAATGAAGTCTTTGTTCAGGTGGGATTATCCTTTGTTTTTGTAAGTTTACACTGGCTATACCCTGTATATGCAAACACACACACACTCACATTCTCACACACACTTATGAGTCCTCATTCATCTCTTGGCTATCTGTCCTGGCGATCTTCCTTGGGGGTGCTGGGCTGTCACCCTCACCTTGTTCCTGTTCCCTTTTCTTTGCTGCATTCTGTGTGAAACAACGGATTATACAGCAGTCAGTAAAATCACACAATTTATTTTTTAATAATAATATTCCTCCAGCTACTAGAAAATCACTGTCAATAAACGAAGCCAGACTTTTAAAAATTAACTCCAAAGAACTGCACATGCTCACCTTTTTGTCCCACTGCTGATGGAGGTAACGCAGGAGGATGTTGGTTTTCTCTGTTACAATAACTGTAGAGCAAACACAGAAACACCAACAGCATATTACTGATTATATTTAAAGCTGATCAGTTTTAAGCACAGTCTGCACAAAACAATGCCAGTTTCACTTTGGTTAACAAGCATTTAGTGGAAACACTTCAGTGATCAACTACAACAACAACTTCTGTTAATATCGCCTTACTGTTCATTTATGGTTTTAAATTTTAAACTTTTCTCCCACAATTTTGACCTTTTGAGCTGTGAGTTTGGTACTTACTCTGTTCAGAGGGGTATTCACGAGTTGGAAGGTACACAGAGGGCCTCCGATTCTGTAAAATAAGAGAAATTACAGTTGTGCATTCTCATGTATTTTTGTGCATAATTTAAACAATCACTATTATCTAAAAAAAAAACAAATCTCATAGAATTTATAAATAAAATGCAAATATTCATTAGTATTAATGACAGTCAAAGGACATAAATATTATCGTGGGCTACTTACAGATGCTTTACAAACAGAGTCTGCATGAAACCTGCTGAAGTTGCTCTTATTGTAGACAGGAAGTCCTTTCAAGAAATCAGCCTGTTGGAAGAAAGTGAGGAGATGATTATACTCCACAGCTCTGGTTTAATGAATATGTTCTCTTTCATCTTACATTTAATATGACCCTACCGACTGGAAGCCTCATCTGCTCTCCACAAAGACTTGCTTTTAGCAAACAGACTTATTCACCTGTGGCATTTCATAACACAGTCCACCACCGGCTGGCTTCAGTGGAAATGTCAAGAGATATTTTATAAAGATGTGGCGCACAGCACAGATGAGGAACCCCTGCAAACGACTGTAGATTCAGGATATCAGACAGTCACTGAGTCAGTGCTGGGCGTTCCCTCATCTTAGTAACCCATGCACGCTAACAGGCCTGCTACTCTCATTGTAACCCCACGACTGGAGGTGATGATACCAGATAGTATACAGCAGAGTGTAGAGCAAGTGGTTTCAAATTAGCAAGTCAGAGCACTAAACGATGCCGGTTTGGCCTTGGTGAATGAATGCCAACACGAGAAGCAGGTGTGGCTAGCAGCTATCTGTTACTCATAGTTAGCCCGGTTGTTATTACCATATGCCCTCTGGGAACAGCAGTGCAGTTTACGTTAAAAGTCTCGCGTGTGTGCATAACGTTACCTTTTCCATGATAATGGTGGAAATTTCCAACGTCTAAACGCCGACTTGTGGACTTAGCTTGGTGTCTGTTTTGCTGGTGGTGATGGCAGGCAGTGTGTTACGGTTAGCCGCGCTAGCTTACTGGCTAGTTAACCGAGGGAGCTGTCCTTTCGGGTCCTCTCTTAGCAAAGAAAACAACGACCTTCACACCCAAGTTGTTGTTTCCATTCTAGATCCCAGTATCCATGAAAGACGATAATACACTTAAAGAAAATAACCCAAGTTGTCATTGCATGAGTTAGCAAAGCTAGTTACACAGGACTTCTTCAGCTAGCATGATGGCTGGATGGTAGCAACGCTTTCTTGGCCACGCCTCCAAAGGGCGCCCATTGGCCTACCCTTTCACCCACGTGATAGTAGTTTGACTTGCCAGCCAATCATTTAACAGAATATATCTTAGCCCCTCCCTAAAACATTGACTGAGCAATCCCACATGATGAGCTTCATTATAAGAAACATCACCAGCTACTGATCCAACTGTTTGGGAAGTGTTTAGTTCTCCTCAATACATCCATGATACAAGTATGTACCCATGTTTGTCTATACAAAGTAAAGCCCATGGAGAAGTTGACAAGGCTTCTTCTATTCTATTCTATTTTTTTGTCATACAAACTATAAAAATACAGTCAAAGCTGGGGTATCTTTTCACATGTCCTGCATTTAAACTTAGCTGGTAGGTCATCGGCGTTGTTAACATTCTCATACTACATTAAGATAGTTTTTATTTGTGAATGGGTGCAGGGAATCTTGTGTGGGAGCATGATAAGGGGCCATCACTGAAATGATTGAAAGGTCAGAAAGAGTCAAAAGCTTGATATTCTTTAAACAACTGATATTAAAACGTGATAGAATCGCTTGATAAAACGAACTGACTGGCATTGTTGCAGTTTTAAGACTTTTGTTCTACTTTAACATGACTTTAAAGCATCAAAGGAAGGTTGAAATAAAGTACAACTGGTTTTGTTTGAAGATACTTGATTTCTAGATTTATTTCGTCCCTCATCTAAGAGACTTCTTCGGTTCTGACAGAGTTCAGGGGAATTGAAGAAGTCTCTTGGATGAAGGACAAAACGTCTTCGAGGATCTTAACCTTCCTTGGTTAACTATGACCTGGATGACTGAGAACCTTCACATATGACTTTAAAGCAGCAACAACGCTTCTGTCCTTTTTTGGCATGCATATGCTTCCAGGGCTCAGTGTTATACTTTTCTGCAATTGGCCCCAGTGGGTTTGAAACTTACTGGCCCGAAGACAATTTATACTGACCCTCCTTCCAAAAATGATCAGTGTTACAACAAAACCAAAAGACTTATAAGTTATGTTATACTGTTAACATGACGTGCTTTCTCTCCTGCTGACAGCCATTTAATAAGAAAAAATGTACACAGAGCAGCGGATACAAGTCGCCTCTATCCTGATTGACAGGACCTGTCAATCAGGATAGTAGTCCCGCTCAAAAGCATTTGCTGCATTTTGTCTCTTTCCCCCTAAATAGGACCATAATTTACTAGCGACTGAGAACATAAACTCATTATAAAAGGGAAGTAGCAACATTTTAACATTACTTCTAATGGAACCGGACTTCTTTTTGCAACCAGCGGACTCGCCGCCTGCGGGCCGTTAGAGAGAAAGCAGTTTTAAGTTCCGTCTGCATTGTTTCACTTTCAGACCCAGAAGTTGCCGCTTGATTGAGATTAGAGAAATAACATCTGACAACCGCTCGTCACGTAACTACAAATCTAGATTGGACAACGGTGCCATGAGCTGCAAAGCAATTAAGGATGTTGAGTTCTAATTTATTTTTTGAAATAGGCTACTAATGTTATCGGGCAGTGAGTTGCTAATTCAACTGTCCCTTTTTACTGGCCCAGGTTCCAGCTGGAGGGAGACCTAAATTACAGTTCAGTGAGTGTGTTTGTTGGGTCTTGATCTTCTCTCACCTCACTGGCACCTGCCTCCTCACTAATAATTACAAATAGTTGCCTAGCAACAGCAGCCACAGCACCAGCTCCTTATGGTGCTGGAGAAATGGGATGCTGATAAAATGGAGGCAATAGGCCCTATTCTTTGCTATTGTGGAATATGTTTTTCGTGTTAACTTCAGGAGCTCTGTGTAAAACAGATATGACAACAGGTTTAATATTAGAATTCAAAGTGATGAAGAAACAATGAAAGGAACATTCAGTAAGGAAACAACATAGCCTACCATATTTAACCAGACAGACAGATAATTAACAGATTTAACAAACCATCCAAATCTAAATTTACTGTAGCTAACTTGATCTCCTCAGTCTGGCTGTGGCCTTGATGGCCAGATCATCCAAAGTTTTCTGTGCAACCCACAAACTCTGGCAATATTAGGCAATCACACATCTACACACTGTCTATGAAGATTCTCAGTCATCCAGGTCATAGTTATCCAACGAAGGTTAAAATCAAGGGCAACTGGACTTGGTTGAAGATACTGGAAGACGTTTCGTCCCTCATCCAAAGGACTTCTTCAGTTCTGAATTTTTAGCAGATCAGTTCTAAAGAAGTCCTTTGGATGAGGGACGAAACGTCTTCCAGTATCTTCAGCCAAGTCCAGTTGCCCTTGATTTTAACCTTCGTTGGACATCTACACACTGTATTGTGAAACCCTCCCTCAAAAAAATGGTAGAATTGTGCATGGATTAATTCACCACTTCAAGTAGGTCTACTTGCCAGGTCTGCTAACTTGTTTGAAATATGTGGGCGACCATTTGATAAGATTCTGTCATTATTTGAACTGGGTTGGGCACAAGTTGCTTTCACAGTTGCAGTTGACTTTGATTTTAACGTGCTATATAAATCACTTAATCAAAATGGAATTAGGCTAGGCTACTCTTTACATCATTGGTAATAAAGCTTATAAATGTAGCCTACGGTATTTACTATTTTAAGTACAGAATACAGAAGAGATAGCAGCAGGGGGCAGCTCTTTCACCCACACACAAAACTGAGACCAGGAGAGTCAGTGGTTCAGTCGCAGCTACAGTTGATGGATTAAAAACATCCTGACACCCAGCTGAGCTCCGGTGCGTCTCCATGCGTCGTCACCAATATTCCAACATGGAAGTGAAGTGCTGGAGTACGCAGATATTTGGATCTACCTCTGAACCACGGAAAGATATGCTGTCAGTAGGCTGATACTCTCCGCCATGTGGAGGTTACCTACAGCACGACTGAATCCAGATAAATTAGATTATTGGATTGACTGCAACAGATTATAGCTCTCCTACTTCATCGATGCTTCATACGAAAACCACATCGATTTGATAATTTCACCGGTAAATATAAAGGTAAGCGTTATTCTTTATTGCCACATATTTCGGTTTTTACTTTGCTATTTATATTATTATATTATAGGCTACAGTTATTATAGGATACAGGCTACACTGTAGATAATTGGCAACAGGCTAGAAATAGTTCGCCGCATATCAAGTCGCGTTGCAGTTGACCAGACTATAAAATTATGAAAATAAAATTTCACTTAGCAATAGAGTAGGCTAGACTAAAAAGGAGAAACATTCTAGGACTTGCCTCATTTGCTGTATCAGACAGCAGTGGGCTATTCAAATCGCTTTATTGTAAGTGAATGGATGGGGACCATTAGCTTCACCCAAAACACCAGGTAAAACATTTTACTCTACCAAAAAAACAAAACAAGTTTAGTATGCACTGAAAGGTTCATATTGTTTCCTGTGTGGACAGCTGTTTTTATTTTTTGCCCAAATTATTGTCAAATTATGACGTGTTATTAAAGCTTGACGTTTTTGCTGAATGGCGACTACAATCTTAAATGACACTAAATATGTTTATTTTGGAATAAATTCCACCTGGCTGAGCATGGGCTCTAATCACTCTTATCAACTTGTAGGTATAGGCCTTGTTTGATTAATTAACATAGGCCTACTTAATTCAAGTTTCACATTGTATTTGCAAGACCATTTGTCTCCTTATAAAGCAACATGCAGACAGTGATGGTATATTTTCTTAAGATGTGCAATAATAATAATACAGATGTGATAGTGATTCGGCCTCACCATTACAAACCAGACCATATTTGATACAGCGCTGTGGACTCCCTAGATATATGTCAGAGATTGAACACCTCTGGAGCAACTAGGGGTTAAGTGTCTTGCTCAAGGACACATTGGTTGATGTGTAGCAGTGGGACAAGGGCTACTATTTCACTTTTACTCCCCAGCTATCAAGCTGTTCCAAGGATTGAACTGACCACCTCACATTCACAAAACTGCTTTCCTAACTGGTTACTCAGAATGAGTGCAATGTTATTTTATCCAAAGAACGCACTGTTCTCATCAATGAAATAGTGTTTTTTATTTTGATATGGTACTGATGAAGTCAGTATGATTTCTCTTGCAGTCACTACTGTACATGGCTTATGTTGTCAGTGGCTACAGGAGGCTGTTATATAATGATTCACACAGGTCAGACACAATCACAGTGAGGACTGATGCCAAGAAAAGAGCAGAGACTGTCATGGGGATTAAACAGATGGTTCACTGTTCATAGACCCTGGTTTTCACACTTGCTTGCTGTTGTATGCCACAATTTAGGCAATAAATAGGGCTACTTATCTTTAAAAATAAATCTTTCTTATGGACTTCTGCATGTAAAGACAGTTTCAAAATGAAATATATTTGATGTGTGTATTCCACCAAACTAAATGAAGCAATATGCAATATAAAGTGAGAATTGAATCAACATGCACTTGCATCATGCATCATGCTTTCAGCCTCAATTAAGAGACAGATTGGACAGATTTTTATTACCACGTTAAAGGATGTTTTGTTCAGTAGTTTTCCAGTCACTGATGTTTTCCCTCAGGAACTTCTTATGATGGTGCTAGTTTTTTGTAGCTAACTAACATGCTCTACTCTTTGCATTATATATATATATAGATTAGATTACTAGAGTTTACTACAGGTAATTTAAAAGGGCGCGTGGTGGATGAGTGTTTACTTTCAGTGAAATCAGAATGGCCTGCTCAGTCTCCTCCGGTCGATTCACACACAGCACCGTACAACAGTGCTGCTTGGATAAAAGATATGCAAGTATAAGCAGAAAGGCCACGCGAATAGCTAGCGAAGCAGGAACACTGTATTACATTGTGTCCATAATCCCCAAATGAAAAGCAGAAGCTCATGCGTTTCAAGTATAGAAAAAGATGCAACAAATCACACACAGGGGGTAAGACTGTCGTACTGTGTTGCTGTTTTCATAGAGAGAGAGGAGATGGACAGATTGCGTTGTGTGGACTTAGAGAGTATAATCTCCTCCAGCAGGGAGGGGAACAACATGAAGGTAGGATAATGCCACCAGCAGAGACATGCAGACCCTGCTTGGTTGCTATGCTGTTGCTTTAGTTGATAATTAACTGACAACCTAACATATACTTTATACTGTACCTAAAGTGTTCATGAGACATGCATTATACATAGTCTCATCCATTCTTTGAATATTTATTTCTCTGATAATATATTGTTCACTCTTTTTCAATACAGGCCAGTTTATTATTGTAGGTGGTTGTGCATTAATTTTGAGTAATTACTAAATATTTACCTTTGTTATAACATGTGATGACTGCAATGATAATTTGAATGTGTGTGAACGTGTGTTAATGTGCAGCTTTAACCCAGGGAGCGTTTACTGTACCTGTCTATTAATACCCCCAAGTCTGCGCTGAGGGAAGATGCTGCTCAGTTACGTCTGACAGAAAGTCTCATGGGTTTGATTATAAAGGCACAAGAACATGTGTGCCTCTTTAAATTGTACATTTAAGATTCCGAGATGCTCATTTATTGTAGATATTTAAGGTGTTCTGAAGATAAAGAAGAATAATCAGATGTTTGTTAAAAATGGAATGATATAATACAACATCTTTTCTCTTCCTTAATCAAATTCTTGACAGGAAGTCTTTGGCGCTTAGACTCTATGGGGAGATTTTTTGTAATCAAGGAGCATCTGCCCTGAGCGGTAACAGGATAAATCACCGCATGGAGTTCAGACACTGGCGGTGGTGGCTGACTCTGAGTCTGACTCTGCTGAGGCTGATTGGCTGATGAAATGATGAAGCTGATGATGAAGACTGGGTAGTGATAGGGAAGTGGGAGGGCATGCATAACATAACAGCAGCATTAATGTACTAAAGGCTGAGAGAGAACATTATTTAAAAAGAGAGTAGCAAGATGATAGCCTAACAATGTAGACGTTTTGCTGTGCTATTCTATATATGTGACCAGCTGGTGAGAACAGCTGACATCATAACTAACAGCCACAGATAATGACAGCAGGAAATTGTCACCCAGCATGCGTGAGAAGAGTGAATGGCAGGATGGGAAATAAATTACAGGCCTGAGCATGCAAAAGAATAGTCTTGCAGACTGAACTTTCACTAGACCTCCATTTCTTTCAGAAGGGTTTTGATGTATTCAAATCTGATTCAAACAAGAGAAATAGAGTTGATTAATATAGTTCATCTAGATTGTTAGGTGTCACTTTTATTTCACTAATCTTTACCACTTCATAGTCTATATAAATGGAATACTTGCTTTTAAACATTGTTATATGCTATAATGCTATAATAATGTATGTGCCTTTGATTTTCCATGACCTTGTTTGTTTGTTTTATATGAATGTATTCCCTACAGACTGGCAGCCATGCTGACCAGCTTTATAGAGGGTCTTCTCTGCTGCCTGACCTCAAAGTCTGCCAACGTTGTGGTTCCTGTAGAAACCTCAGAACCAGCTGATGGCTATGAGTTTGTGGAGGTGAAACCAGGCCGCGTCCTGCGGGTTCGACATATCATCCCTGACCGTCCGGTGGTGGAGGAACCCACTGGGCAGGGTGGGAGTGTCAGCTGCAAACGAAAGATCACAGTATATCGTAATGGACAGCTATTCATTGAGAACTTGGGTGACAGGGCGAGTGCAGAGCTGAAAAACTGCCAGAATGGAGAGACAGAACCAAACAGCACTGTGGAGGTCGAACTGACAGACTGTGGAAACTCCTCACCGCCCGTCACCATCCCTGAGGCCAGGTCAGAGTGCGGCATAGCTGGAAAAGACGGGCCATCCGAAACAAGAGCAGAAGGAGAGGCACCTGCCACTGGACAGGCTGACCAGTCACATCAGCATAGGAAGCGCAGGCGGAAGCCCAAACGCACTGTGGTGATCGACTGTGAGAGGAAGATATCAGCATGTAAAGGGACACATGCGGACGTGGCTCTGTTCTTCATTCACGGAGTGGGAGGCTCACTGGACATCTGGGGAAGCCAGTTGGACTTCTTTTCCAGGCTGGGCTACGAGGTGATTGCCCCGGACCTGGCAGGTCATGGAGCCAGCTCAGCACCACAGATAGCTGCGGCATACACTTTCTATGCCCTGGCTGAGGATATGAGACTCATCTTTAAGAGATATGCACGCAAGAGGAATATTCTCATAGGACATTCTTATGGGTAAATTCACAACATTCATGTAACACACATCTGAACTGAATGACGTTTTAAATAGCTTTAGGATATGCAGAAAAACTTCAAATATCACTATTAAACTGAGAAAGCAAAATAATATTATGAAGTATGAGAAGTCCAGACATGTGATGTGAACATTTACGTACAGTATTGTGTAATTACATCAAGTACAGTTTCAGTGAAGTAGCCCTGTATCACACTATGTCAGTGTGATACAGGGCTACTTCGCTGAAATAATTAGTTGTTTTAGTCAACTAACTGATTGACAGCAGTTGTGATAATATCTCAAGTGTGTCTGTATTTTCTGCTTTTTCAGTTTTATGTGCTTATACATATTATTTCTTAAAGTGAGACTAGGTAAGGCTTAAGAGAAGAAATAACTCAATCTCCCTTTTACAAATGAAATGTTGAATTAATTGGCAATATAATGCATGGTTACATCAATTCAAATCATTCAGGGGTTTTGAGATTACAACTGTACTTGGTCTGGGTCTGGATGACTGGCTAATATTAGCTTGTCTTAGCCAACTTTAGATACAAGTACAAGGTACACAGTAGATTTATTTGCCACAATACAACAGGTAGAGTGAAATTGAGTTTTTAACTCCCTTCTGCTACATAGCAGACAATATACATTAATATAAAAGCAATTATAGAAATGGTAAACAGAAATAAACCATATTCAGTGGAGCAGTGTTGGGGATGAATTTTAGTTTAAAAGTCTGATAACTTGGGGGAAAAGCTGCTCTGCAGTCTAGTGGTGCGGCAGCAGAAACTTTTATATCTCTTCCAGGGAGGCAGCAGGGTGAACAGACTGTGGCTGGGTGGGTTCTGTCCTTTAATATCCTTTGGGCTCTGCGTAGGCACCTCACCTCACCGATATTGATGATATATACTGCTGTGTAACTGATACACTATGTTTTAGTATTCACCATTGTCTTGCCACTTGTAGCCCCGGTGGTTAATTTAAGAAAAACAAAAAGTTATAGTGTTGCATAAGATTTTGGACAGTTTGTCAGACAAAACAAGGACTTCTGTGAGATAGTGATTGGTATTATTTTCTGACATTATATAGACTGAAGACTTTATTGATTAATGTGCTAAATAATAGACATAGTACTTACTACTATGCTCATTGTTTATGCTGTTGAAGGTATTTAATATTACAGTGTTAAAGTGCTTTGATTTCTTCTAATGAATAGGTGTATGCTTTAGATTCTCCAAATACTTACATGCTAAAATGCCATAACTGTCATTCCCAACACTCCTTCCAGATATGTACATTCCAACTAAGAGGCAACTACCACAAAACAAACAGCACGGCTGATTATTGTAGCCTGTCTTGTGACCAGTCTTCTTTTCTGCTTGCCTAGTGTGTCGTTCTGCACCTTCCTGGCCCATGAGTATCCGGAACAGATACACAAGATGGTGATGATCAACGGAGGTGGTCCCACAGCCCTGGAGCCCAGCCTCTGCTCCATCTTCAACCTGCCCACCTGTGTGCTTCACTGCCTCTCACCGCTGCTTGCCTGGAGCTTTCTCAAGTAAACACACGGCAGCAGTACCAGAGACAAAAAATTGGTTTTGGGTTGATTTTTCATTAAAAAAACATATGATTGTTCTCCTATGCTTTTGATTATGCAGAATCTGGTCAATTAGATTGGATTAGGCTTTTATTTTAAAATTTACTAGCTGGTATAATTGATTGTTTGCAAGGTGTGATATACAATCCAATGTAATTTATAACTACAGCAGGTAACCTGGATTAATATTTATTTAGAAGTAATGAGAATAAATAATCACATTTGGTGGAAACAAAAACAATGCAAATGATAAACTTAACAGAAGACAGTGACATCCCTGTTTTCAGTTTTTTAATAAATAAAAGTAAAATATGTGAAAGCCCATCTAATGAGAAGAGGTCTAAGCCTGACCGCATGACTGTGTCCTGTCCATCAGTCCAAAGATCTGACCTTTAACCTCCCAAACATACCTAGCAGCTTGAATCAAATGAACAAAAACTGTTAAACCTGAGAAACATTTATGTTGCTGGCTACATTCAAGTCTGATATTTATGCTAATTCTACATGTGGCACTGTGTGTGTGTTCATTTCACCATCAGAATCTTGTTTTTGTTTTTCAAGCTACTGTATTTTTAAATCAGGTAAATCTCCTCTGCTCTGCCCCCTACAGGGCTGGCTTTGCTCGACAGGGTGCCAAAGAGAAGCAGCTGCTGAAAGACAACAATGCCTTCAACGTGTCGTCCTTCGTGCTGCGTGCCATGATGAGTGGGCAGTACTGGCCTGAGGGGGATGAGATCTACCATGCTGAACTCACAGTGCCCATCCTGCTGGTTCACGGCATGCACGACAAGTTTGTTCCCGTCGAAGAGGACCAGCGCATGGCAGAGGTGAGTGCGCCTCTTCAACCCTCAAAGCACAGGAAAACAGATCCTACTAAAGACACTCTCATAGTGTGTAATAGTTTCCCTACCATATTCAGACAAATGGAAAAGGGCTGTCTTACGTCAGGAAATCTTAATTCATGATTTTTATACAGTGGATCACACAACTACGTGTAATGTGAAACAGCTCATCTGTAATGAAAATCCACTGACAATTATCACTTTATCACCTGCAGTTCAGCTCAAAGGGTCTGTTAGATCAGTACTCCATTTAGATTGCCTTATGGCCTTCTTTGGACTGCTCTATCTGTCCTCATCAATGTTATATCAGATGCTGCAGGCAGCTGTTTTCAACAAATAAGCTGTGATAAACACTACACTGCCTGCCCAGCTCCAAAGAACAGGGAGATACAATTAACTATAGCTGGTAAACATAGTGGAGCATTTAGCAGCTAAAGAGCCTGGAGTTGGTGGAGACCAAAACTAAGCTAAAACGAGGGCGATTAGATGCCAGGTGGCGAGAACACAACTCCCAATAAATCCCTGTGTTCGTTGGATGTGGAAATAAGCAAATGTTTACTAACAAGTTCACCATATGACATACTTAAAGGTGATAGCTCAGTGATGTGTTTACAGCTTGTTTATGTATTGCTGCTGCAAAATATAAAGCGGCAGTGTTTTGCTGACGATTCCAATATGTAACTTTTTTACTGCTTTTAACTTTCTGTCAGATCCTCCTAATGGCCTTCCTGAAGGTCCTGGAAGATGGTAGTCACATGGTCATGATGGAGTGTCCTGAGTCAGTCAACACACTCCTGCATGAGTTCTTCCTCTGGGAGCCAGCCACCCCTCCACTGCCAAAGAAAGAGTCCAAAACGCGTCCAGAGACTGCCAAAGCCCAATCTGACAACACCAAGGCTACAGCTGACCCTTCCAAGGTCCGACCTGCAACTGCTACACATGCCTCATCAAATGACGGCACAGAGGAGAAGCCAGACAGCTAGGCCAAGAAATTACTGAGAAAATGCTAAAATTACTAAGATTAAAGCTAAAGCTTCCAGTGGTTGTTACACTATATGACTCACTTTGTGGGTCCTGATAATCTGAGCTGGTACCTCTTGAACCTGATGCTGAGCCAAAAAGGCCAGTTTCTCTAAATGGTCCAGCTAAAGCTGAAAGTCAAGGTGTGACACGATGAAGGAAATTCAAATTTGATTCCAGTTATGTCAGCTTCTGAGCTGAAGGACAGAGAAAAGGGATCTGCATTAATGATTACTGGAGGTTCATTCTTCAGTTTACAGCACCCTGTCCTCAACATACAGCAGGGAAGAAAAAGCTATGGCTTGAAGTGGAGAGTGGTGATGATTCCAGGGTTGGCAGTGCAGGAGACAGAAACAATAACAAACAGCCATGAGGGTGAGAGTATTATAAAATGAACAGCTGTCAAGTGGCAAAAGTGATAAAATATGATTTTTATTGCCAAATCAAATGGTGTCATCTGCCACACTGACAGCTACTTTTTAAAAAGGATAACACTGGGTTGCCATTCCTAAAACATGGTAAAGACAAGCAAAACATGATTTACATGGTTTGTATGAAACATGCTCCTGCTTGACCACCTGATACACTGCCCTATGTAAAGCAGCAGCAGAGTCACAACCTTATGGAAAAATAGCTGGATGATAAATTAGCCTGATGTATTAGCCGACTTAAGGTTTAGCATTGAATCATGATACTTGGTAGCTGTAAAATGTCTATGTGTGTCCCAGGATGTTTTGTAGTTAGATTGTTTCATTGCATATAATGATACATTTCAAACCTCAGCAGAGTTTTGAAAAATGATGTTGTGTGAATGATTGCATGTGACTTGTGAAGCTGAACAAGTGAAGAATGAAGTACTGACAAGAAGAGAAGTGAAAGTAAATTTACTCCTTCCTAGAATTCAGGGAAATTTAAAGTATGTTCAGTCAAGTGTATCTTGCTTAATTTAGCAAAAGCTGAGGCTCAGCACTGAATCTACCTTGTAATAAACTTGTATGGCCAGAATGGGCCAAAGATATTGCACAAATCACATGCACATAATGAGGTTAAATCAATAATAAGAAGGCCTGTATTGAGATATGCCAGGGAAGTGCGAGTGAGAGCGAGAAAGAAAAAGAACAGTAGCCCAATGCAATATCCACATAGAAATGTAAAACAATAGTGATAATGGTAGTGGTACAGATGTAACTGAAAATGAATAATAGTACTAATAATGATTGCAATAATAATGATAATAATAATAGGACTTATGATAATAATTGTTGCAGTGGGTGTTGAACAGGAACATAACGCGACAGGAGAGAGGAAGGGGACGAGAAAGCACAAAACTACAAGAGAGGGACGATGCCTAACTATAGTTTCAATAGTTCCTCTGTTTCCTGCAAAAAACACTGTTTATACAGCTGTTGAATATATTATAATTATTATATATTTTTTTTTATTGTTTAATAAATATTAGGCATTTATTTCTCATCAAACTTTGCTATTCTGCAATGTTTTTTACCTGGAGAAGTGAAGTTATAATAAGATATTAGTATTATATTAGTACAAAAACTGTATTTTGAGTCATCTCTAAGTATTGTTGAGTCTGATGAGTTAGCACATAAGAGGTCAACAGTTAAATGTCCTGCAGTGCATTGACTACATTTATTTAACTCTTTTACAGTTAATTGTAAACATCTATTCTGTAACTCCACAGGACAGACACCTGGCATTAAGAAGCTATTAAATCCTCTGTTTTTGACCACTTCAATAATGTGTGTATGTTTTTACATTAGCTGATATGTTATGTGTTGCTGTAGTAGTTCATGTATTGATAATGTTCACAAACCCTCTCTGAGCCTCCAACATAGAAAGAGCAGAAATGTGAAATGTATGAGGTGTGAATGAAGCAAGTATTTGTATCTCAGATTCCATAGTAATTGATGGTTTTTCTACTTAGATAAAAAATTTTATACATTGTACTTTTATTTGCGATGGAGAATTCATCAGAGTATTCACTGAATCAATTGAAGATGCATTTCTGATCACAGAAATGTGACAGATTTGTTTTGAGACTCGAGCTCACACAAGCTAATCATTTCTATGCGGCATATAAATTACATGGATGGTTTGCTTAAATGATTGTCCTGAATTTGAGGAAACTGTTGTATCTTGTGTGTCTTAAATTCTGTAACTGTAACTGCCTTTGACAATAATTACACAAACTGGTGATTTAAAACTTTTATCAAAGTAAATTATTGTGAGTTTGACAATTTTGTCAGTCCTCTTTGTATTATATTTTATAATTTTTTAACTTTGTATCTTTTCAGAGAGTTTTGTCTCTTTTTGTTTTAAACCAGGGTGAGTTTGCTGATTTCTTTTCAGAAATAGCTTTCATTGGCACTCACACAGTTACAAACACATTTGGGAGGTGCCCAGTCGAACCACAGTTGGGTATTAAGTCCCTTGCTCAAGGGCAGTGGTAGAATCAAAGTGGCAACCTTTGGTCAAATGCGCTCCATTTTTTACTTTATGGCACTATTACTAACCCTAACATCTTTTGATGAGCACTAAGTGTTTGGTGAGAATTACACTAAAAATCCGACAACTGTCATCAGATTTTGATTCAAATATCACTTAATACTGATTGGTGAATGAAAATACATGATATTGTTTTTCCAACAGAGCCCTGCCCACTTCAAACCAGTGAGAGGAGCACTGAAATCTCTCCTGAAACAATGCAAAACATTTGGTAGAAAATGTTCTCCATTTGGGGCCTTTAAAAGATGCCATGGACTTTCAGCCTAATAAAGTTAATCTCTGAAAAATGAAATAAAAATAAAAGGAAATACTCTGCATAAATAAGACTCTTTGTACGTCTCTTTTAATTAAATGTTACAGTGTCACAACAAATTTTGAACTTAACGACTTATTCAGCTATACCAGATATATATAGATCTAGACTATAGCATCCATTTATTTAGCAAGAACAACAGTACATAAACTCAAATAGTAAAGGGGTACAAAACAACAACTTATTTACTTTATATTCAAAATTTTGTTCTTGTATCTTAACTATACAGTAAAGGCCCAGAGTTTGATAACAGCATTTATGGTAAACTTTGTTCATAGAAATTAATATTTTCATCCTTTTTCTACTAAAGTATTTATAACTTAGTTTAACGCATATTTTTGGAAATTGACAGTAAAACATTTGATCAAATTCTTTAATAAATCTCAACCAATACCAAGCTTTACAATGTTTATACATTCATAAAGTATAATTAAAAGAAAGCATTCAGCTGGGTAAAGTAAAAGTAAAAGGCACCGTCCTGCCCCTGCTGCCACCCCTTTCAGACCTCCACAGTGACAGTGGGACCATTGCTGGTGTCTTCCAGAGGTGTTGTCTCTGTTGGCGCATTGGAAACTTCTTCAGGCTCCTCTTTTTTGTCTTCCTTCCCTTCATTAGCCACAAGAGGAGCACTCTCCGCTTCCCCCTGCTGGTCGTTGCTGGTAGTGCTGGCCAGCTGCTCTGCTTCTGTGGTTTCATTGACAATTTGGATGGAGTCGGCTGCAGAGGCCTGTACTGCTTTCACTTCCCCGTTCTGAACAGGGTAGACCCCCTCCAGTGCGTCATACAGGAACTGGTACTGTTCCTGTAAGAGACACAGACAGATTTGATTGGTAGGTTCTAATGAAAGTAAAGCTTTCTTTTTAGACTACACAAACTTTTCTAAAGAATGCAACACAACACAAACAAAAGCACCAGAAACAGCTTTAAATGATGCATATGGTGAGATTCTATATTTGTCGTATGGTCAGCAAATTCCAGGAAAAGACAAAAAAAAAACACAACAACAATGAATTTATTCTATAAAAAATGTATTGCTTGTGTTGCCAAAGCTTAATATACTATAGCTGATTCCTCTGTGCCATAGACCTCAATTGTTATCATAAGAACATATTAATGAGCCACACTGTTTCAATGGGTGACATGCATATTCATTACACTGAAGATGGGCCTGTAGTTTATTTTGGGTCGACCGCACATACACCGTCCTGCTGCTCCAATGCTCACTCAAGCACAAATCAATAGCTATACATAAGAAATAAAAAATACACTATTTACTCCTGTTTGAGCACTAACAACTACGGTGCCCAGCTGATTAGAAGATCTTTAGCAGGAACTAATGAGCTTAGGTCTGAGAACCACTGACAGATAGGGAAGAAAAGTACGGACAGATGAACTAGCGCATTGTTTGCTGAAATTAGTTGATAATAACAGAAATAAACAATACTATCAACCTTATCCTTTAATTCTTCAAAACAACATTGTAGGAAAATAATGAAAATATAATGAAATTATTGTTATTTTTATTTAGAAATTTACAGCATTCAAAGGGAGCTAGAAAAAGGCAAGTGCTATACTTTTCACCCTGAGCGCTGTCGGAAGTTAAAGCCGTGAAAGTGTGTGCTGACTGATATTGGGTTCCTCTTTCTTACCTTGCTGAGGATCATGCCCTGTCTCTCTTTGCGTAGGGTTTTGGTCACTTGGAAAACATCCACCAGCTTCTCAGTCTCAGCGCTGTCCAGCACGGTCCATAGAGCACAGAAAATCCCTGAACGGGACGAGCCATCACTGAGGAGAGGTTGCACACACACGAAAAGGTTTACACAAACAGGTAGTAATTTCTTTCCTGCTCCAATTTTGTTTTCTTTTGTTTACACTTCCAGCCAGTTCATATATCACTGAATGATATGTTTATTGGCTAATCCTGCTCTGTTCATACGTGTGATCCTACCATTTTAGCACCAGAGAGCTGCTCATAAATGTTCCTCTTACACTTTGCTCTTCACTCAGCAAATACAAGTTTTAATCCTAATTGGCTCTTTGGAGCATTTTCAAGTGTAATTCTTAAAGATTTGAATATGGGCCCAATTATAGAATAATGTTCATACATACCTATGGATGATAAAGTGTCTCTAGCCTATTCCAACTGCAGAAACTAACATGGACTGAAGAGAATGATATACATGTCTTCCTTGTATTGAGGAGACAAGATTAAACATGTTTAAAATGTAAAACCTTAATTTATTATGTTAAAATGATTAATAATTTGTTCAAATGTAAGACGCTCCGCCAATATGTCCTCACAAATTTTAGGGGCTAAAATTAAAATCTTACTCTATATCTCTTTTTCCAAAAGCTCTCAAAGTTGACTCATCCATCCTTAAAAGACTGGATATGTTACAGTTACATACATACTGCTCCTTGAAGAATCCAGAGGACATTTTGTGTGAAGTTGTCTTACTTGCAGTGGACCACGATTGGCACACTCCTTTGTGAATTGCTGCTGCCATAGCTGCGCTTGATGTCCTTGATCATGTCCGTGAGATCTTGAGGTTTCTCCGGCACCTCTCTGTTCATCCACTTCAGGAACTGGAAGTGTTTCACCGGCCGACTCTCTTTCCTCTGTTGACAGAAGTGGTGTTAAAACAGCTTGTGATGTTGAAATCACCAATCTCAACACAGGCTGATGCTGATGAACTTAGAAACAGAACTTTGTTACGATCACAGAGTAGGCTGCTGTTGTGGTACCTTGACATGGCGGATAAGTATGTTGCGGGTGATGAAAGTCGGGGAGTTCTCTGTGCTTTCCACCTCCACCTCAATGTCCCCAAATGTTTTCTTGTCTTTATCCCAGTAGACACAGTCAGGCTCCTGTGAACAAGATGACACAAGAAAACAAGTGTATTTACTATATTTGTACAAAGAGCATGTATAGTGTACTCTATATGTAAATAACACCTAATGTTATATATATATATATTATTATATCATGGTACTTGTCTGTAAGGACTGCATGCATGAATGTTTAGTTACCGTATCTCCCTCAGTGCAATCTGAGAGCATGACAATAGTAGATGCTTTCTTCTGGTAAACCATCGCCCAGAAGTCAGCCATGGTGTCTGGCAGCGGAGTCTGTGCTGCAATGAAGGTGCGTGGGCCCCAGTAACCCTGTGTGGGCAAGAAAACACATCCATCTATTGTTGTACACAGTCCAAACAAATAGGATGTGATGAATTGATTTACAATTCAACAGGTTGCATGCAAGTTAAAGAGTTAATGAGATAACACCTGCTACAACAGGAAAGATAAAAACAGGAACACAGTTGGTCATGCTTCAATTGAACAAACCACTGTCCAGGCATCCAGGTTTATGTCAGAGTTATGCAGAAACAGAATAGTATATACAGTGTAAGTAAGCAAAATGACGTACATCTAAGTGAGAGGCATTGATGTACTTAGTGGACTCCTCATCCTCCTCATCAGAGGAGTCTTCCTCATCATCTTCATCAGG